TCCCACCACCAATGCTCTCTATTATTCACTATAATTATTACTTGACATTGTTGCTCATCTGGAGGCTGTTTATTGGTATTTAATTGGAATTTCAAATTGGCATTTAGGTTTTTTAAATTTGTTATTCAAATCTGATTTCTATATTTTATTTTGTTGCATTTTTTAAAAAATGATGGTCAGATCTACAAAATTGACTTTGTTACCTACCATTTGAATGATCACATAACATTTGATAAATCATTTTACCTTAATTTGAGGATGAAGACCATTCCTGGTGATGCTTGAAAACCAATAGGGTTACACCTGGCAGTGTGTATGGGGTGGGGGAGGGGGCAGAGTGCCAAGGACTGAACTCAGGGTATTAGGACCATATGGGATGCTGAGAATCAAACTCGGGTTGACCGTGTGCAAGGCAAATGCCCTACCCACTGTGCTAATAATATGATACATGTTGAGCACAATATAAACACTGATATATGATAGGCTCGATGAATGGTAGCATTGTCCTCCCGTTGTTCTTCGATTTGCTCTAGCGGACCCAGTAACATCTCCATTGTGAGACTTGTTGTTACTGTATTTGGCATATCAACTATGTCACAGGGAGCTTGACAGGCTTTGCCCTGAGGTCGAGATACTCTTGGTAGCTTGCTGGGCTCTCCAATAGAGGCGGAGGAATCAAACCTGGGTCAGCCAGGGGGGCTGCATGCAAGGCAAATACCCTACCAAGTGCTATTGCTCCTGCTCCAATGAATGGTAACTATTATTCATACTGGAGGTGGGGCAGCAGTGTTTAGGGACCCAGAGGTATTTAACTTGACTCTATGAGCCTGATGGTTCTGTGTGTTGTCCTGTGATATAATGCTGCTCAGTGGTCTTAGGGTCACTCAGGCCAAAATGTTGGTGTTCTGGAGCACAGGCAGTGCTGAGGATAGACTCTTTGTATATGTCAGACATGCACATTAATTATTTGAGCTAACTTCCAGTGCTTTAATACTATATTTTTGTTTGTTGAGTAAGCACCAGCAGTGGTGCTCAGGGCTCAGTCCTGGTTCTGTGCTCAGAGATCACTCTGGGTGGTTCATGGGGGACCATATGTGTCCTGGGGATCTATCAAACCTAGTTGGCTATATGCAAGGCAAAATGTCTTAACCCTGTACTCTTTATACCTCTGTAGCACTGTCCTCCCATTGTTCATCAATTTGCTTGAGCAGGCCCAGTAACATTGTGAGACTTATTGTTACTGTATTTGGCATATCGGATATGTCATGGGTAGCTTGCCAGGCTTTGCTGTACCAGCGAGATACTCTCAGTAGCTTGCCGGGTTCTCTGAGAGGGGCGGAGGAATCGAACTTAGGTCAGCCGACTGGCCATGTGCAAGGCAAACACCCTATCCGCAGTGCTATCGTTCTAGTCCCCTTTAAAAATAATTTTTTACTAGAAAGAAATTAAGTTAGTCTAGATCTAGCTGATTCAGCTTGGCTGCTTCCCAAATCAGCAATTTTTTATATCCTAACCACACATAGGGCTGGAGCGATAGCACAGCAGGTAGAACACTTGCCTTGCAAGCGGCCAACCCGGGTTTGATTCCTCTCCACTTCTAGGGGAGCCCAGCAAGCTACCGAGAGTATTCCGCCCACATGGCAAAAAACCTGGCAAGCTACCCATGGTGTATTCGATATGCCAAAAACAGTAACAAGTCTCACAATGGAGATGTTATTGTTTCCTGCTCGAGCAAATCGATGAACAAGGGGAGGACAGTGCTAACAGTGCTAACCACACATATCAACTCAAAATGGTAATACTCCTTCCTGCTGTGCACCATCACCTATGTGTCTTGACTGCTGGGAAACTGTACGGTGGATAATATTCAACTGAAATTTGAATGAGATTCCCTGAGTAACAGTGTATGCAGATGTTACAAAGGACCTGAAAACTGTGTATTGAACTTGGAGAAGATGTGGTCTGACATCTTTCATGGATGATGGTCTGTGGCTTCATGTCAAGCAACTTGGGGGTCAATTAAGGAAACTAAGTGACATAGTAGTCAACATAGGCACCAAATACACAGTTGTATAAAACTCCGAGGGTGTCCAGGGAAGCCCTAGCGGCTCTCCCCCTGGCCACTTGGGTTTGGGGGGCCTCAGGCCACCCACCCAGCCAGGGCAGCCCTATTCATGGGGCAGATGGCAGAGGAAATGAGGGTTGGTTGATCAGATGCCATTTATTCCATTCTCCCCACACGCCTGCCCCAGTCTCTCTGAGCCCCCATTCTAGTCTCCCATTGCCCCACATTCCCATCTCCTCCTGTCTCTCCTGCTCATCTCTCCACGCTCCATCCCACAGGCTGGGCTCTCTCTCTCTCCACGTGCCTGCTCCTGTATTCTTCTTCTACATCCTTCTCTCTCTGTCCCCCTTGCTAGCCCCTCTGCGGTGCATCTTGCCACCTTCCTCTCTCTCTCTCTCTCTCTGTCTCTCTCTCTCATCTCTCTCCAGTTTTCTTGTCTCCCCAACTTCCCCCGCACTCTGAGCCTACACAGCACCCAATCAGGTAGCCAAATCAACATAAGAAATCCCTTCCTAACTGCCAGGCTCAAGGGCAGAAACATCACCTAAGAGTATTCCAAAGCCTTTCCTGACTGACCAAGGGCATAATACCTCCTACAGTGTTTTTTTTCCCTTTCCTCAGTCCAATAACTATCAACATCTTAATAGTAGTTTTGTATGGACACAGTAAGAGATACATTGAGGCTTGTAGAGCAGCTTTCTTGGGAACATCTTGCCACAGACTCAGACTATAGATCTCAGGCCAGATTAATCATTCCTAACCCTAGCAGGAGCATCCTCCACCCAGATCCTCCAAATTCCAGTAGGCGGGGGTCACACCCACCAACTGGCCCCCTGGCGCCGTGTAATCCCATCAGCGGCCAAGACTCAGAGACTATAAAAACCAGCTCCCGGAACCATGCGGCCGCATTTGCAGCTGTGCGACATCTTATTATGACATCTTATTATCTCATTCCTACTTTGGACAAACTGGCAGGCTACCCAATGTAGCCTGCCCTCACGGCAGAGTCTGGCAAACTCCCCGTGGCGTACCCAATATGCCAAATACCAGTAATAATGATGGATCTCATTCTCCTAAAGAGCCTTGAATATAATCTCAGGGCTAGGATGAAGGAGACGTTACTGGGGCCTGCTCGAGGCAATTGACGAATAACAGGATGATTTGTGATTTTGTGATTGTGACCCTAGCAGGGTCCGAATCTAGTTATTACTTTTTGGATCATGACAGCATTTGTCCATGACCAACCTCTTAACTTATAGTTAAGCATTAGGCACTTTAGTCAGGCCCATCTTAATGCCAGGGTAGCGCATAGCTTACCTCTTTCCCTGGTTCCATCCAGTCTCTCGTTGGGACCCTGTTTTGGGGGTGTGCTAGGGAGTAAGGGCAGCTGAGGCTTAAGTTGAGAGAACAGATGTCCAGGAGGAAAATGTCATTTAGAGTCAAATGACACCCACATTACAAAACATAGTATTTACTGTCTTCTTGTGTTCATACAAAAAGGACATTGCTCTGAATAAACTATGCCAAGGACTTAAGGAGAAAAGAAAAACAATATTTACAAGTTAACAGAGCACAAAGAAAGAAACTACAAATAAACACAGAGGAATGGGAGTACTGTGATGGGAGCAACCCAATAAACCTAAACTACCTGAGCGCTGGAGCGATAGCACAGCGGTAGGGCATTTGCCTTGCACGCAGTCAACATGGCCGACCCGAGTTCGATTCCTCCACCCCTCTCGGACAGCCAGGCAAGCTACCGAGAGTATCTCGCCCACTCAGCAGAGCCTGGCAAGCTCCCCGTGACGTATTCGATATGCCAAACACAGTAACAACAAAGTCTCCAATGGAGACGTTACTGGGCTCGCTCGAGCAAATCGATGATCAATGGGAGGGCCTTTTACTTTTACCTGAGGCTATGCAGGAAGGACAAAACAATGTTATCCTACACACAGTGAGTATTATTTTTTAAAAAATAAATCCTTCTTCTCTCCTTAATATGGAAGAGATAATGCAGAGACTAAATATGAAGTGTATTATAAAACCAAAAATTTGAACAGTCTGATTAGTCTTTTTGTACATTTTTCTAGCCACTGCATGAATCTTGCAACCTTAGAATCTGTGTGATAAGAATAGAGAAAAGAAAGAGGTTAATAAGAATGGCAACTTTCAACAATATTGTATATTCTGAATTTAGTAATAGCAAGGGGGAAGAAAAGAACCCACAAAAGCATGACTTTTATTTGAAATATTAATTTTCTATAACATTTCTAATTAATAATTTGGAAATTTCAATAGCATTTTCTTTTTAAAAATTCATTTTAATGTAGACAAAAAGTCACAAGTGTTGATACAATTCTAGAGTTGAAATTGATTAGATAACAAAGAGGAATTAGGAGGTATTGCATTGTCTAGAGACTTGAGGATCTCTGGTCTGGGCCAATGAGTTGATAAGGTTGCATATATGGGAGGTAATCATGGTTGCTGGGGCTTCAGGAAGTAATGACAGTGGGGAGGTTGTCTTCCCCAACTATAAGAAGACAACAGTGTTCTCAGCCTGGGAACCAAGGTAGCTGAAATTATTTGTAGTTTGGCATCACTGCAGAGAATTTTAGTGTAGTGGTTCCAGGGCATTGGCAGGGCAAATACTTGGTCCACCTGCCTCCCAAGGGTGCCCCAGTATCTTCAGCCATGGGAACCAGTGTTTTCATGAATTTTACCTAGTTGGCTTGCATCATTTTGGAAATTTAGTAGAGGAGGGCCCATGACTGAGTCAACATGGTGGCCCCTCAGAAATGGGTGCAGCTGCTGGGGTTTTTGAAAGCACAGCAGGGCACAGGGAAGGATTTTAAATATCATAAATTAAAATTTATTTTTCTAAAGTACATAGAAACATTTCTTTCCTAGCCAAAACAGATATTCTCATGCTTGAAACTCTATTTCTAATTTATTCTTTACAAGCTAATTTGCAAAATGAAATTGTTTGGATGATTGGTTTGCAGTAAACATGGTGTATCAAATTGGTTTCTAAATTTAGGAAAAGGTTGAGTCTCTTCTTATAGTAATCAGGAAATAATAGAAGTATTAATGATAATGAAAATTCCATAATTAAAAAGTCAAATTCTGAAATAATAAGCAGAAATTAACATTAGCAGGTACCAGCAATATAAATTATAAACCACACAACTGGTTATCTTTCTGTTCTTTTCATGAAATAACACAACCTCCAAAATATAACTTTTTAAATGTACTATATCCGTCAATTAATTTCCATAGTCTTCTTTAATTTAGTAACTTGAACATTAGACATAAGAATCAAAAATGAAGCAAAATTATTTTAATACTTGCTATGATTTCTCTAGCTGAGATTTTAAACTCATTTAGAAAGTAGTAATTGTTGTTATCTATATAGACATATTAATAAAAAAAACCTTTATTAACATATACTAGAATTTCAGAATGAGCTCTAGATTTTAAATACAGTAGATTCCATGTCCTTTCTTGGAGGTTTTTGAGGACTTATTTTTGGTAGTGTCTCTTTGGCATATGATGTTTTGTGAAGTCCAGCTTCTCTAAGTGCCAATTCAAAACGAAGTCTAGGGTCAGAAATTATCTGTAGAAATAAAATACAATTTAAATAGCAATTTACTTACCTAGATTAAATCTTATCATTTAGTTTCATTTCCCCCAAGCTGCATAATTTGTTTTTGCTGAACAGAGAATTAGATGGTAATCAATGCAGTGTGTATACAGTGACTATATGTAGGCTATTTTTATTGAAAACACTCAACACCCTAAGAGGTAGAAAATATTATATACTAGATTATACAAAATACTGATATATTAAAATGATTTAAAAGGTGGGGTGAAAGAAGCTAACTTTCAGATGAGGATTACATAATGTATACAATCATTGATTAAAATAAATTCAAGCTGCATTCAACCTTCTGCATATCTTTAAATAGACATTTTAATTTCTACATCATTTGGCAATATGCAAATTGAGATCAAACACATGGCCACTACTGGAAAAGCAAAATCAATAGAACTTTTCTTCCAAGGCCGGATTTCTATTTCAAGCAGAACTGGAAAAATGCTTCCATCAATCTAATTCTAAGTGGGAATAGACATAAGAGTGGTTCAATTTCTGGTTTTTTTCGTAGCTGATTGGACCTTATTCCTCCTTCTATGAATATTAAACGTCAACAGACCCTCTCTGCAACGATAACAAGGTGACCACATATAGATTTTAGATTATGAGGTATTATATATGAACTTGAGATCCCTGTAGAAAATAGAATATTGCAGTGGTCTTTCCTTCAAGGAAGTCTTAAACTAATAGGGATAATAAAAATGTTCACTGATAGTAGACTGTGGCAATATGTAATAGATACTTCAAGAATATAAAGACCTGGAGATCTGCCTCTTGGGGCAGAAGACACTTGGGATAACTATAAAGCCCAATTTATTCTGCTGTAAATAGCAAGGCAGAAAGAAGAAAGATCAAATAATAAAGGAGAACAAATGCAAATCAGAGGTAAAATTGGTCAACTCTGGCTCAGAGAAGTTTTGGTAGAGCATCGATTTCCATTAGGGAACACTGGAAAAGGACAATTCGAACACTGGACATGCATTTTATTTAATTTACTTTTTTTTAAAGTGATGGTTCACGTCTGGCTGTGGTCAAGGATCACTGCTGGTGGTGCTCAGGCTACCATTGCAGTGCAGTGCAGAGTATCAAACTGGGGTCAATCCACGTGCAAGCCTAAACCCCTGCTTAGGTATCTAAGCTCCAGTCCAGGATATGGATTTTAAAAGTTTGAAAGTTTGAAGGTCATGCCAAAGATTCTGGACTGCTTGCAAGTTGTATTTATTTCTGTTTTTCACATGCAATATCACTGTAACTAAATGAGAATGAAAGGTCTGATTATAAATGCAGGTCAAAAGGAAAGAGGGGGCAAAGAGAGCTACTAAATTGCCTAGACATGAAGTTATAAATGCCTATACTTATTTAGTCGCAACGATGGGATAATTGTTGGGAAGGCTGTGAAAGGAGAATCAATAGAACTCGGAAACTGATTGAAATATAGGAATGAGTGGTAATAATGCATGCATGTGAAAAATAAGATATTTGTGTCAAAAAGGGTACATAGGCCTAGGTTTTACTTCTGCATTTATTTTCAAGGATGCATACCCTATCTGTGTGCTACTGCATCCCTGAATTATTGCCAGAATTGTCCACTTCACAGCTTGTAAGGCTTATATTTGTTATTTTATATATTAATAGATATTTAGTGAATTGTAAATTTCTTTGCACCCTGATCTGCATCTCTTCAAATCTCCTGCTCAGAGGCAGCCAATCAGTTTCTTCTAAGTATCTAAGAAGGCATTTTTACACTAATATGAACAAAATTATCCTACCAAAAGTATCCTGCCCACACGGCAGAGTCTGGCAAACTTCCCGTGTCGTACTCAATATGCCAAATACCAGTAACAATGATGGGTCTCATCCTCTTAATCCTGAAAGAGCATTGAAATAGCTCTTTTAAAATCTCAGGGCTAGGAAGAAGGAAATGTTACTGGTGCCTGCTCAAGGAAATCGACGAACAACAGGATGATCCTGATCGTGATGAACAAAATTGCTCTGTTCTTCTACCTTTGTTTTTTTCTTCAGTGTTTTTACATGGTTAATGACAGTACCACTGAGTGATTATCATTTACCAAACTGACACTTTAAGAATTACATTTTATTGTATCAATTCTTATAAGGACCTTGTAAATCCCTTTAAAGATAAAGGAAACAAAATGATGTTACTAGCTTGCACAAATTTACATGGCCAGTAAACTGTGGATGTGGATTCGAATCCAAAATGTAAGCTGCTTTCAGTATTACCTGCTGCCAACCAGAGGGTCATCCTGATTTTTATTATCCCCTCTCCTCTCCACCAGAACCATCTGTGCCCTCCACATCACTTTGCCAGACACTGTCATTGTAAAAGGATCTAACTCCACCCCCACCAGTTTTTCATAAATCTGGTTATATACTTTACCGGCTTCAAAGTTCCATCTCTGCTGGTCAATGTCTTAGCAACCAAGGCCTTCTGTTCTTTGCACAGTTTGATCCTAATTCATGTATCTAATTTTAGCTTTGTCAAGTCCCTTACATGGAGACAAATCAGTAAAAGACTCTTGTAGTCAAAACTCTCCTTTGCTAGTAGAAACTCTTCTTTCAAGCTTTAGACTTCAGTTCCTTTCAAGCCCAGTAGTCCTATATTGACTTCTACAATACCCTGGCAGCTTTGTAATTAATGCTTCTCCCTGCACTTAACCCCATTCCCTACAACAAATTTTTGATGGTGGTTAGCTTATATCATTGGAAATGAAATTTTGTTCCTGCTGCCAAATCGCCTCGACTCACATATAACTGAGTTTCCTGCTTTATATTTGTTCTGACTTCCCCAGCCAGGCTCAGTCATTCACTTCCTTCTCCTTGCTGCCATAGTCCTCACAGCCAGCCCTCAAATCTTCATTGTGGAAATTATCTTACCCTAGTGGCATTAATTCTATTCACTACTTTCCCTCCAAACCAGCTTCTCACTCCTCTCCTCATATTGAGGAGCTCAATACCTTTATATAAAACAAGTCTAATAGGCTCAAGGTGTAAATCTGGCATCTCTGCACAGTGCCAGAACAGAACTGGGTTCCATAAATAGCCATCTAACTAATGTGTGAATTACTCATCTTTTTAATCCTTGGCAAAGGATGCATGACATAGTAACAGAAAAATTTATTTGTTAATAGGTGAAGCTTCATGTCTTAAAATTAAATAAGCATTTTACCTCTCTACTTGAGATTTATAAAATTAAACACTTCCTCCATTTCAGTGATACACATTTGACAGTCCTCCCTCCTAGAACCATCTATCCAAAAGATCCTTCTAAAATCCCTTGTCAGTTTAAGAACAGACTGAAATAAAGCAAGTTCCTCACAGAGACTAAATCACCCTTTAATACTTTGCACAAAAAATATTTCATCTTGTCATTAACTCTAATGCATTCCTTTCTGTTTCTATTTCTGAAAGCTGTCCTCTCCTTTATCTTTGTCAGTATCATCAGTTTTTGTTTCTAATAGGACCTGTAATGAATTTAAACATAATTTTTTAACAAAATAGAGAAACACTTAAAAATGCAATATTAACACAACATTAAAAATTATATAGGGGCAGGGGAGATGCCTCAAAGGGCTTGTGTAACTGCTTTAAATGCAGGAGGCCCTGCTGTACCCTGGCATCCAGGAGCAACTTACTGAACATCTAGAAGTGGGTTGCACCCTCTAGGGTTCCTCCTTCCAAAGTACATTTTTTAATTAGAAAAAATTTTAATGAAAATTGTATAATATGTTTTGTCCTCTATAACTATGAGAGCTGAATGGGGCTAGAGTGATAGTACAGCAGGAAGGATGCTTGCCTTGCACACCTCACACAGTCCTTTGAGTTTTGCTAGGCATGAATAGGAATAAGCCACACAGGGTGTGACTCAAAATTTAAAAGTGACAGGATCTATGTAACCATGTGCTATCATTTAAGAATAAAAATTATGCGTGGTAATGTAAATATTGAAAATAATTTATAACCCAAAACACACACTTCTGCAATTCTTCTTGTCATCATCACGGTTTTGCATCAATCATGCTAATTCCCATAATTACCTGCTGTTCATTGTATGTATTCAGTGAGAAGAGTGGCTTTTGAAGAATAAATTCTTCCTCAATTCCAATACCCATCCTCGCTTTTGATGCCATTGTATCTGACATCATTCTAATAGGATCAAATTGAGCAACAATAGCCACCTAGAAGAGAAAAAAGCATGGCTATCTGGAACAAGATAAAAGATATACTTCTGGGCTATATGATTAATATTTAATGTCCATTAAAGTTAAGAAATTTTATCAATAATAAGACTTTAGGGAAATACAGAACAATTATTAAACCGGGTTAGTTAAAGAGAGTTACAGATTAGTTAATGGTTTAAAAGCATAATAAAATGTGGGGCTGGAGTGATAGCACAGCAGGTAGGATGTTTGCCTTGCACGCGGCCAACCCGGGTTCTGTTCCCAGCATCCCATATGGTCCTCTGAGCTACCGCCAGGAGTAACTCCTGAGTGCAGAGCCAGGAGTAACCCCTGTGCATCGCCAAGTGTGACCCAAAAAGCCAAAAAAAAGGACCATAATAAAATGAAAGTGATTGAATTACAGTTATGGTTAATCTTAGATGTATTTACTTCTAGCTTCCTGAGACAAAATTAAAGAAAATATTACACAGAAAATTTGCATATACAATCACTCTCAAAGTAACCAAAGGTAAAACCAAACTAATTTTAACCACAAGAAAGCAGTCCTTGATAAAATTCTCCATGAAGCTTTCTCAAAAGTTCAATCTAATTAAACTCAATCTAGAGCATATCAGATTGTAAAGTTGTGTTGACATTTTTGGGTAAGATCAGTGACTTTCCTTCGTACAAAACAATTAGGTTTCTAGGGTTGCAAAAAACCATTGTTCTAAAAGATTCTCTTATACTGAAAAACTGCACAGTCATTTTAACCCAAATACCCTTGTCCTTTATGATAATTGAAATCATTCAAACCTGCATTCTAATGAAAAGAAGTCACTAATTTTGTAAATTATATGCACCATTAGTAACACCTGCCTGTTAATTCCTAAATCTAGGAATTAGCATTAAAAATTGCATTTTAATGCCATTAAGAAGCTAATAACATAACTAGGGGTTCAACATACTTTAATTTTATAGTTTTCTAGACAAAATGTCTTATACTACAATTCTAAACACTGATTACAGGTAATAAGCTCAGATACTTTCTCTTTTCAAAGGGTTCACAGATGTAAATAATCCTAATTGTAGGGACTGCAGTTATCACACTTTGAACAACACTGTGTTTAGAAACAACACAGTTTCTACAGAAGGCCTTTGATATAATAATCACAATTATTACCTGAACACCTGAAGAACTTACCATCAGTACTCATCAATACATTGGCTCGACTCTTCACACGCTACCTGTCTGAATGCAAGGTTCCATCCCAATGGAAAACCAGCAGGACTGTACTACTATACAAGAAAGGAGACATCCACGACATTGGCAACTATCGCCCAATCTGCCTATTGTCTGTCATCTACAAACTATTCACTCGAGTCATCCTGAATAGGATTAGCAGAACACTAGATGAAGGACAACCATGTGAACAAGCCGGATTCCGAAAAGGATTCAGCACCGTCGACCATATCCACACAATAACCAAGCTCATTGAGGTATCTCGGGAGTTCAAGATGCCGCTCTGTCTAACCTTCATTGATTTAAAGAAGGCCTTTGATTCTGTTGAGATGGAAGCGGTCATGGAAGCCCTAGCCAATCAGGGCGTACAAACTCAATACATCAGGATCCTTCGTGAGCTCTATTGCGGATTCACTACCAAGATCTCACCATTCTACAAAGAAGTAATCATCCATATCAAGAGAGGGGTTCGGCAGGGTGATACCATTTCACCAAAACTCTTCAGTGCCACCCTCGAGAACATCATGCGACGACTGGAATGGGAAAACATGGGAGTGAAGATAGATGGTCGGCAACTACACCACCTCCGCTTTGCTGATGACATCGTTCTAATAACACCAAACATCAACCAAGCGGCACAAATGCTGAACGACTTTGACCGTGAATGTGGAAAGGTCGGACTACAGCTGAATCTTACGAAGACAATGTTTATGAGAAACAGCCTTGTTCCTGACGCTCCATTCGCTCTCAACGGAACCACCATCTCCAAATGCAACAGTTATATATACCTAGGTCGAGAAATCAACATGATGAATGACCTGGCACCTGAGTTGCGCAGGAGGAAGAGAGTGGCTTGGAATGCCTTCAAGAGCATTGAAGAAATAACTAAAAGGACAAAGAACCTCCAGCTACGAGCACATCTCTTTGATTCCACCATTCTTCCTGCATTAACATATGCCTCAGAAACCTGGACCCTACGAAAACAGGATGAGAACACTATTCGGGTCTCTCAAAGAGGAATCGAAAGAACTATGCTTGGAATATCTCGATTCACTCAAATGAGAGATAGAATCCGGAGTTCTGATCTTCGTCAATGCTCAAGAATCAGGGATGCTGTCTCATTTGCCAAGACATCAAAAATCAGATGGGCTGGACACGTAATGAGGTTTACAGACAACCGCTGGACTAGAGCCATTACTGATTGGATTCCACGAGACATCAAAAGATCACGTGGACGCCCACCTATAAGATGGTCAGACTTCTTCGTCAAGACCCTAAATGATCGGTTTGAGGCTCTACATGTTCCTAAAACGAACAGATACCATTGGGCTACGCTAGCACGCAACCGGGATGAATGGAGACGTTACTGGCACCCGCTCGAATAAATCGATGAATAACGGGGATTAAGTGATTAAGTGATTAAATCAAATAATTTAAGTTTTTCGAATCTCAGATGACCAAAATTTACATTCCTTTACTTTGAATTTCTAAAATCTATTTAAGAAAAAGAAAAGGTCTAGCTGCTATATGCATTTATATTATCTCACTCAGTTATACTTCTTTGATTTGAATTCAGTCTGACAGTTCCTATGTAATGTTATGAAAGCACCTAAGCACCATATCCTCTGTTTCCTCTTCTATAAATAAAAATGTCGACATAGTAGGGATATTGTAGAGATCACTGAATCTAAAGCCTATGCATTTAGAAGAAAAAGTTGTATGTTTAGTAAATACTCTAGCACAAATACATAGTACTATAAATCTATGAAGCAGATACTATTGGTCTAAACCAATTTTTTTAGATAAAGAAGCTATGAAGTAGGAAGGCTAAGATTTAATTTTCCTCTGCTCCAAGTACCAAACTGGGTTGTATCAGGTTTGAAAAGCAGAAACCAAGTTTTTCTCCAAGATTCTATGTGGCCTCCACCAAAAAGGAATGGAAACCAGACAGTCATTTCCTATCAGCTGGGAAATGGTGCCAAGACTCTAGAGCTTCTGCGTCGAGCTAATCACTCCCAGACTAAAAACACTGAAATTTCACCAAGTGAAAATACTTGAGCACATTTCCCAATTTCTTAAATTCCTGCTCTTGCCATCTATTTTCAACTAGGCTACCCTACTTTTTACTAAGCAAAGGGAAGTTTTAGTTCTCAAAAAAAAATATTGTTTATGTGTATGTACATATGTACTAGTGTTTTTTCAAATGTGGTTTTCTACCTCCTTGTTGACTGTGGGATATTTCCAAACAGAGATTCCAAGTCCCCAAAATAATTATCTTGTTTGGGCTCCACCCGATTATTTTAGGAGAGTAAAAATTCTTTGGCAAGATGCAGAGTTTTGTTGCTGTTCAAAGGATGCTTCTTAGCTAATAAACTAGAGGTTATATTCATACATTTAATTTGGGAGGAGCCTTTTAATTTTTTCTTAAGAGCTTGACTTAATGTATTCATGACTTTTTATATTGAAAATGTATTTAATTAAAAAATTAAAGATCTGTAATTTACAAAGTTATTGACAGTTCAGTTTTAGGCAAATAATGTTCCAACGCCAAACCCACTGAAGGAGAGAGTCTTTGTAAAAGGTGCTGATAAAGTTATTAATAAAGTGGTAGTAGAAGTGGTAACATATAAGTCTGATTGTTCCCAGGAATGAAGAACCATGTTAGGACAGTTACATTTTTCATAGCAGATGTCATGAACTAAGCCCTAGTAATAATGTCATTAAGAGTACTTAGAAACATTTTAAACCACCCATGAAAATTTACAAATTAAAAGCACCTGTTTTCTTAGAGCTTCTAACCGCCTCTCTCTCTCCTCTTCTTCGTGTGCTTCTTGAAGAGCCACCTCTTTTTTCTCCATCAAACGTTTTTCCAAAAGCTCTTGTCTATATTTAACCCTTGAGAAACAATAAAAGGAAAGTTGGGAAGTCACATATAAACACAGACATGATATGAAAGGATGCCTGAGAGTAGAAGACATTCAGAGGGAACAAGACAGTCCAGTTTGGTTCTTTTTTGCTTTCTATTGATATCACATATTTAAACAATGATGCTTACATAAAATGCAGTTTACCATTTGGCTTAATACTACTAGAGAAGTTAGGTCTTGGGTATAGAAGTGTGGGGGTAAAATTCACCCTATCTCTTTTCCTCATTGAAGTCATTGTCTTAACTCTGTCAGCTGCCATCGCTGCAGTCAACGTGACCAGCAGCTATAATTTTTCTTAAGGGAATGATTTTAAAAAGTCTCCTCAGAAGACCCTGTCACATATTCTGAGATGCATTACTGATTAGGTATACATACCTGAATATAACCATTACTAAGAAATCAAACATTATATTATCCTTTTGCCAAAAATATCTTTTTGGGGTGCATGTTAAGGAACTTTAAAAAATATTCACATACTAGTTGAAAACACCAAGTTTATTGCCATTTGAAAGTATGTCAATTTCTAGACGATACAGAGGATATCCGGAGATTGAACTCTTTTTCCTTCTAGTCTATGTCTGGTTATAGGAATAAGGAAGGTCAGACATGTAGGGTTCTCTTGACTTACATCAAGGCTATTACTAATTTCTATTTCTCTTTGAATCTGTCAACCAGGGATTCATGTCACATTGATCATTAACTAATTTTTTCCTCCATCGTATATATTTGGTGTGTACTTTAAAGGTCAGGTTCCAGCAAATGTTTTCATTTTGCTTCCCAGAATGTAGTAATCTTGTAGATTTAATAATAAACTGGGGGTTTTTCCCCCTAAAAATGCACTTTGACTGTAGATGGCAGCAAAAACATGACTTTTCTATAGTGTTATTTTTTTCATATCCTTAAAACCATCAGACATTCAAACAGGGCATTATAGAATTTCTGTTATTGTCATTGGTTTTGGGGGCATATCTGAAGCCCTCAGCACTTATGTCTGGCTCTGTGCTCAGTGATCCCTCCCGACAGTGCTCAGAGGACCACCTGTAGTGCTGGAGAGTGGGCACATGCAAAGCAAGGCTTAAAACACTATCCTATCTCTCAGGTTCAAAATAGGGCACGTTTTTAATACGAGTTTTAGAATCCAAAATCCTTTGACCATCTGTTGGATTTCTTTATGGTAATAACCCTTATTATCTTCTTTTTTTTTTTTGGTAGGAGTACTGCTATTTATTCAGCCACTGATTAGCTGATTGAATTGTGCATGAACTCCACCTTACTTTTTTTTCCCATTTTTTATAATTTTATTTATTGAATCACCATGAGAGCAGCTACAAATCTTTTGGGTCAAAGTCTCAGTCATACAATTAAACACCCGTACCTTCACCAGTGCCCATTCTCCACCACCAAAAATCCCAGTATACTCCCATCCCACACCCTCCCCCTGCCTTTGAGGCAGATGATTTCCACATTACTTTCTCTCTACTTTGATCACATTCACTATTTCGACACAAGACCCACCATTATTTGAGATTTTACCCCAACACTCAGATCTGCTGAAAAGGCAACAATAGACAATTTGTGTTCTATTGCTGGTTATGAATAACATATGATGTCATTTGGCTGCAGTAGGGCCATGTGGTTTTGAAATTCTGAAATTTTAACACTTAAATCTGGAGGGATTTCTGTCAAAAGCCACTGGGTTTAGAGATCTGCTCCTGAGTCTCTGAGATCATGGCCGTTGAGCAGGTTGATGAGGTGTCAGAGAGGCTGTTCGTGGGTGATGACTTGGGGTCTCGTTGGGGTGGGGAGGACAGGCCCGGCTCCTCCCCCCCCATCCCGTGAGGCCCAACAAGTTTCATCACTGCGGGCCCAAGCCTGACTGTTCAATGGCCTCTGGAGGATGACAGCCAAGAGGGAGCAGGCGGAGGGACAGCACCCATTCCCCCCTGGAGTGGCCTGGCGACAGTAACCTACTGCGGGGTCCGGACACATTTCTGACAAAAGTCGCTGGGTTTTGAGATTTGTTTCTGAGTCTCTGGGATCAAGGCCATTGAGCAGCTTGATGAGGAGCCAGAGAGGCCATTCGTGGGTGATGACTTGGGGTCTCATTGGGGTGGGGAGGACAGGCCCGGCTCCCCCCCCCCCCCCCCCCCATCCCGTGAGGCCCAACAAGTTTCATCACTGCGGGCCCAAGCCTGACTGTTCAATGGCCTCTGGAGGATGACAGCCAAGAGGGAGCAGGCGGAGGGACAGCACCCATTCCCCCCTGGGGTGGCCCAGCGACAGTAACATACTGTGGAGTCCGGATGCATTTCTGCCAAAAGTCCCTGGGTTTTGAGATTTGTTTCTGAGTCTCTGGGATCATGGGCATTAAGCAGCTTGATCAGGAGCCAGAGAGGCCATTTGTGGGCGATGACTTGGGGTCTCGTTGGGGTGGGGAGGACAAGCCTGGCTCCACCCCCATCCTGTGAGGCCCTGTGTGTCTCGTCACTGGGGGCCCAAATGTGACTATCCAGTGGCCTCAGATGGATGGCGGCCACTGGGCTGCCAGGGGGGAACAGGCCAAGGCACGAAACCTATTCCCACTTGGGTTGGCCCAGCACCAGTAGCCTACTGCAGAGACCAGACGCATTTCTACCTAAAGCCACTGGGTTCCGAGATTCGTTTCTGAGTCTCTGGGATCATGTCCATTAAGCAGTTCAATCAGGAACCAAAGAGGCCTTGCCTCCAATTATATAGCTGAGCTGGAGGTGGTTTGTGGGTGTGTTTCCCATATACCTAACTTTTGGCCATTTACTTTCTTGGTAAACTTTGCCCCAAGTTTTTGGGGTCTGGCCAAAGGCACAGCAGCAATTTTGGGGTATCTGGAAGTCTGAAGGCGCCATGAGGCTGCTGATGCACTCGCCTCACAGGTACAGATTGACCTGCTGGCGGCACCATACCCCCCTTATTATCTTCTTTTCCAAGCTTGTCCATTGAATTAATATTCAATTGACATCAATATTATTATGATTAATTTATTTTTGTCTGTTTGGGTCATACCTGGTGATGCTCAAGGATTACTCCTGACTCTGCAATCAGGAATTATTCCTGGTGATGCTTGGGGGACCATATAGGATACTGGGGAATGAACCCAAGTCGGCTGCATGCAAGGCAAATGCCCTCCCCGCTATACTATCACTCCAACCCTAAGATTAATTTTATTTTTTACTAAATAAAAGGTATACATACCAAATATAACCAGGTATGTATTATACCTGGGGATTTGTGGGACTAGGTGACTACTGTCTTCTCTCCTCTAATAGTGCTAGATTAAAGTCTATTTGTGTCTTTTTTGGCCCCACACGCTTATTTTTAATATGCACACCTGTTCTCTCCATGTATGTGCCTTCCTTGAATCTTTTTTATCCTAATTCCAATTCATTAGGCATCAGGTCTCAGGCTAAATTCTTTTTCATATCTAAGTTTTTTTTTCAACTTCATCACCTTATTAGGTGGGGTTGGGGGTTGATGAAATTCCTTCATTAGTTTCATCTCAAAGATAAAGAAACGAAAGACAGAAGTTGATAATACTCACCTTAGCTGTTCTATCCATTAAGGGCCAGGTCTAGAGACCAAATCCAGGCAAACAGAGTCCCTGCTCACCACTTACCCTCGCATTCTCATGCAGCTAATCACTATGTTCCTCAGTTTTCCATTCCTCAGTGGCTCTGCTAATGTCCCTGTGCTACCTACTGGAGTTTTTAGGGGGAACAGAAAGACACTCCTCAGAACAAAATAAGTTATATGTGTATACCTTGACTTAAGAGACGTAGCAGGTTTACTGAGGAATTGGAGAAAGTTGGGGATGCTACTTGCCAGTTGTGGTAAGTATGATAGGCCGCAAAAAAAAAAAAGAGTGTCCTGGAAGACACAGCATCTGAGCTGCTTTTGAGGTTTAGGATCTAGAGGTGCATGGAGGCATGCTCGTTAAAGGAAGACTGGTCATCCAAGCAGAGAAAACCTAGTCAAGCCTAAGGCTTACAACTCAGAGTGAGTGACTCATTGACCTCATTGTCATCGCAATCCTGCAAGGAAGAATTCAGTGTGGTAGAAAAGAGTGAGTGAATGACCATGATGAAGAACCTCTGGGAAATCCTGGCAAGACTCATCTTTGGCAATTTGATGGCTCTCTCAGCAAGATGCGTTCCTGGGGAGGAAGGCTCTTTGAAGAATTTTATCCTGAAACTGGTATTGAAAAAGAACAGGGAGAGCAAAGGAAAGAAGAAAGCAATATATCCTTGTAGAGTACAAAACCCAGATTTAGAAGGAAAATCTAAGCTCCTCTGATGAGTTGTGGCTGGTCTCTTCATCATGTTCAACATAAGGAGTCAGTACAGTCGGGCTCGTGGATTAAAAAGGACACAAGCAGATAGCTCTCTTTTTCCTATGTCTCCACGTCATGGGAGGCTATATTTCTCTTTCTCTCCATTTTCACTTAGGCATGACACAGTCTCCCTAATGAGGTTCTACTCAATTGAAGCACTGAGTACAAGCTAAGTGAACTACTGTGAAGTTTCAATTAAAAGATACCCTGGGATTTGACAATTACCATATGCTAATTTTTTGAACCTTTGGAAAGTTTCTCTTCCTTTGGGGATATAGAGGTTGCTTTGTCTGCAACAAAGTTTTGTCTACTTTGTGGAAAAGTAATAGTTGTTTAAGTTAGAGGAGCTTGACTAGTGAGGAATAAACTGCCAATAAGCAGAGCATTTGCACCTATATGGTAAAGACTCAGGTACTTTGAGGCTCATTCACTTAATATTTATTGAGCACCCCAGCACCTGCTATGCACCAATCTCTGTGCTTGGCGTTGAAATTAAAACTTCGACAGAGGAGACGTGCATCTGTCCTCACACACCTGAATCTAATGGGGGAATAGAAAGATCTAGGTCATTTCTTTTGGAGTGTCTCAGTTTGGAATGATCAAAA